GCGTGGGTGCGTGGGTGCGTGGGTGCGTGCGTGCGTGCGTGCGTGCGTGCGTGCGTGCGTGCGTGCGTGCGTGCGTGCGTGCGTGCGTGCGTGCGTGCGTGCGTGCGTGCGTGCGTGTGTGTTTGCAGGTGTGCATGTATGTATGTATGCATGCATGTATGCATGCCAGCAAGTAAGTAAGTGATCAGGGAGTAAGTAAACAAGTAACTAAGTGAGTAAGTAAGTAGGTAGGTAGGTAGGTGGGTAGGTAAGTAGGTAAGTAGGTAAGCAATTAAGTAAGTAAGTAAGTAAGTAAGTAAGTAAGTAAGTAAGTAAGTAAGGAAGTAAGTAGGTAGGTAGGTAGGTAGGTAGGTAGGTAGGTAGGGAGGTAGGTATGCGTGTATGTATGTATGTATGTATGTATGTATGTATGTATGCATGTCGGAATTTGTAGGGTTGACTAACAGTTAGACAGTTAAATAGATAGCAGCTGTGTGAGGAAGGGCTGACGGTTGTGAGTCGCACCTTGCAGCCAGGTCCTGGGCCCAGGCGCGCGCCTTGCGGCCTTTGGAGAGTGTGGGGCCAACCAATAACCCTCGAAACAACCCTAATCGCTCAATCCCCCAACCCCACACCCGAAAGCCTCAAAGACTGCACCTGTTCAGCCGAATCTGAAGCTTAGCACACCTTCGAAGGCTTCGCTTCGCTGCCGGTCTTAAGGCGACCGGGCCTGCAGCTCGAAGATGGTCAGAAGGGCGCTGTTGGAGGTGGGAGTTTTCCTGTCTGAGGCTCGGTGTCTTCCGGGAGCACCACGCCGCAGAACGCCAGCCACTTCGCCCCCAGGAGACGGGGGAAATCGGGAGGTTTTGCAGATACCGCACTCTTTCGTCCACAGGGATTGCCCTTGTGGGGAAGCTTCGGTGTCTACATGCATGCATGCGTGCATACCCATACGCATACATGCTTCATATTGATGGTGGAACGAGTTTGCTTGACAGGCTGCAGCGAGTTGTCCCCCTGTGATGGCGATACGGAAATGATATTTCAGGGCATGCGCAGTAGATGCCTGTTCTGACATTTTAATGTTAACGCTCAGCGAAGCCCTTCAGCAAACTATCCCGTACAAAGCAGGATTCTGCCGCCGTCTGGTGCGAGCACTCCAGCCCAACCAAGCAGCCTAGCATGTCCAGCGCAGCCGGACGTGTGTGCCAGCTGCGGATGGGTACGGCTCTCGCCATGCAATCGCAAATAGTTCTGACAAACAAGTGACGCAGTCTTCAGGTCTACATGCCTGATGCGGTCTTCTGCCGCCACTGTGGCCAGAAGCGCGACATGACTCAGGTTGCGGGATCTGCATGATTTTGCAGGTCTGGCGTGCATTTGAGTTGCAGGCTGAAGCAAGCCCTGCTTACGTGAGCATGGGCCTCGGTGTCAATGCGTGGCGCGCTTTGCTGACAATGTTCACTGAGAAGACAGGTGCAGCGAGCCCCATGCCAGAGGCAGGGTGCGCTATCGCCAGCATTCCGGGGTGTTGGTGCTGCACGAGGTTTATGCAGGGGATGGCTTCACGTACGGATCTGGCCTTGGCCCTGCAAGCGTACTGCTGCCACAAATCGCCACATCCCACTCTTCAATGTTGCTTCGCTTGCAAGGTGCAGCAAGTCCTTTTCCTCCTGGAGTTACGGTGGGCGCGTACTTCGCATTCTCTTAACCACACCACATGCCCCCCACACCTGCGCGTGCGACTGATGAGAGGTCTACGCATCGGAGCCCACACCGGCCTACTGCTCCACATCAGGTCCTGTGATGTGTCACGGGAGTTGCAACAGCTGGGCCGGCTTCAGTGTGAGGCACGGTCAGCCCGCTCCCAGCCGTCCGGAGCCCTCTGTGATTCTTGTTCCTGTCGCAGTTTAAGTCGGCCCAGGCATACGCAGATGAAGGTGCAGTATATGGTTGGTCCGGTATCAAGCCCAGGTTCATGTCCTCGGCACCTGTGCTCTGTTCGCAAGCGATTCGTAGGACGCCACATTATGCAACGTTGTGACTTGCTGAAGATTTCGGGTTGTTGATGTGGAGAACGTTGTGCTACTCTACTTGGTATCTAGATTTCGCAGTAGCTACTCCAAGCTGAGGCGCTGCCACTGCTCTGCCTCCAAGGGCAGCTTGCCAAGAGTTTCGCAGAGTGTTGAACTCTACAAAACGATTGGATGGGATAAGCAGCACCCAAGTCCAGCTGGAAACGAGTTTTGAGCAGCTGGTATTGGCAGCATTGCTCACATAGTCTCTCGAATTCAGGTCCTCGCCACGAAGCTGTCCCCATCTGCCTACGACACCTCTGGTGCGGCTCTTTTGCCTGCATGGGTTGTGCGCGCATGGAGCAAGAAGTATAGACGAAATGCCTTCATCTTTCTTGCTGTGGTTGCTAGTGAAGCCTTCCCATGCATCGGCCCGGGACACAAAAATCGAAACCCTCTCAAGACCAGGAGTTACAGGGGAGAGGGTCTGGAATGTCAAGGCAAGTTAAATTCTCGTTTTGTCAGTGGTAGCCATATTTGCCGGCACTCGTGACTCTTTCTAAGGGAGGCAATGTGACTCACAACCCCAATAAGGATTTTGATCAGTCGTGTTTGTTCGAGTGCTGTGGCGCGGGCTGTCGTTCTGTTACCATCACAAGAGTGTGTTACGCATTTGAAGCGAGAGGATTCTTGTCCCATCGTTACAGAGGTGTGGCAAGATTGGCATCTGGTCAGGCTAGATGCCTAAACATCTCTTGCAGGACTTTTGTTGGCTACGTGTCACCTGGAATGTCCAAGGCCACGTGGATGGAGCCGACAACCGTAGCCAATCAGCCTTACTCTTGACGTCTTCTTGCAGGGCAGGTTTGCAGCAACCTCACAAGAAAGCCTTTCCAAGGCACGTGGCGCCTGTTTCTATGTCTGTTCCGGCTGGTTCATCGACGGAGCTCAGAAGCTTTTCGAAAGGGCAAATGTCGTAGGTAGCCCAAGCAGTTGATTAGGACGCTCCTGCTGCTACTCTCTCCGCGATCTCAAACGGGATTTCCTCGAATGGGTGCAGCTCTCAGAGGCATATTGTTGAACTAATTCGTGTGTTGCTGTTTAGCGCAAAGACAAAGAATCCATCGTGGGTGTCAGGTATGCATCCACACGCATTTCGTCCTATGCACCTGCGATGCCTTCAGTGCAGGCATGTGGATCCACGCATATTTCGGGACCCTCTGGCCGGCTCAAGCGAAGGTTGCGGGAGGAGCGTCTTGTGTGCTGCCTGATCCTCAGCAGTCCTGCAGGATGCAGCGGAGAGCAGTGGTCCTTAACTCAGGCCTGCCGTGATGCACCCACGGGCATCCACCCCAACTGTACCGGCCAGGTGCAGATGCACGGGAGTTTAGAGGGTTCAAAAGGTGGTTCAGACGGTTTTTTAGTCAGACCTCAGGGTGCTTTTCAGTTGTTCCTTCTGGACGCGCCGTTTTGCACGGCCCCACCAGCTGATGGCTGGTGTGGTGTAGTCCGTCCCAGATCTCCAAAAAGCCGACGCATGTCCTGGAGAGGTATAGCATTGCGTCGCCAGCGGCCCCAAGAGCTCGCAACTGAGGTGTCCATGTGGTGAGAGTTCCATGAACACGACATGACGACTAGACAGGCAGCGTCCGAGAGAGCTGGGACGGGTTCTTGGAGCTAAAGCATCACACATCGCGCATGCTCGAGAAAGACGGCATGATCTCAAAATCAGATCTGTTGTCTTTGCTAGTGATTGTCGGTGTCACTGCTTGCCTCATGCCCGTAGCGCGGTGTGCTGTTGGAGCAATCGCACCGGCAGTATCCTATTTGGATGCCTTTTTGGTTCGACTTGTTGACATCCCGTAGTGGAAGTAACCTCCCGGTTGCAAGGCCGAAGTGCGTTGCAGTTGTCTTTGCGATGTCCTTGGAACCTCTTCGATGTGTGTGTGTGTGCGCGTGTGTCTGCGCGTGTGTCTTTGCTAGGAAGGCAAAAGTGGGCGGCGATGTTTTTGAGCCCTCAAACCCGGAACACTCAACTTAGATGAGACCCCAGATGAAGCCCAAAATCCTAATCCTGAATCCAAATTCTCATGGATCCGAGGCCTCGGTGTCAGGGAGCTCAACTCCTGTGGTACCGGTCGGGTCACAGTGGGGGACCGTGTCGCCTTTGCCGCCCCCACCTGCCATGGTTCTGGGAGCTGTGGCTTGTCATCAAATCGCAAGCATAATGGTTAAATAGCAAGAACAGGCCGTCGCGGTAGTTGCGGGAATCCTGGCTAAAGCTGATCGTGCTAGTGGTAAAGACAGCACAGCTGGCAAAGCAGTTGTAAGTTGTAACTACAGCAGCCGTAACTATAGGCGGATCATCACATACGATTATGCTAGTCAGCCCCACCACCGCCCCGGCCACCTCTGCAACTGCCAATGCAGGTGCCACTCGCGCTACTACCCCCACTCCCACTCCCACTGCCACCACCACTGCCACTGCTGCTACTAACTTCTATTATTGCTGCTACTGCTTCTCTTACTGCTGCTA